ATATATGCATATAAATTCTTTGGTTACTCTCTCCCCCTCCATCCCCCCTGCCCCCCTCCATCCCTCTGACATTTCATCAGTCTCAACTATGCTTCCATGTCACTGAATCTATTAAAAATGACATCAAAAGCAACTAAACCCTAAAGACCCCCCAAAAAACACAAAAAACTATTAGAACTAAGAAATTAATTAGTAAAATTGCAGGATACAGAAACAATATACAGAAATCCATTGTGTTTCCATATGCCAGTAATGAATGATCAGAAGGAGAAGTTAAAAAAACAATCCCATTTACAATTACATCAAAAAGCATAAAATACCTAGGAATAAATTTAACCAAAGAGGTGAAAAACCTGTAAACTGTAAGACACTGAAGAACTGAAGAAGACACAAGTAAATGGAAGGCTATACTTTCCTCATTTATTAGGATTAATATTGTTAACATGTCCTTACTACCTAAAGCAATATACAGACTCAGCGCAATTCCTATTAAAATACCAATGGCATGCTTCTCAGAATTAGAGCAAATAATTCTAAAATTTATATAGAAGCACAAAGACCCCAAAGAGCCAAAGAAATCTTGAGAAAGAACAAAGTGGGTGGTACCATGCTCCCTGATATCAAACTATACTACAAAGCTACAATAATCAGAACAGAATGATACAGGCACAAAAACTCCTAGAAGAAAACACAGGCATTAAACTCTTCAACATCGCTCTTAGCAGTATCTTTTTGGATATGTCTCCTTGGGCAAGGGAAACAAAAAATATAAAATAAACAAATGGGACTACATTAAACTAAAGTTTTGTACAGTGAAGGAAACTATCAATAAAATGAAAAGACAACCTACTAAATGGGAGAAGACATTCACAAATGATAATCTGACAAGAGGTTAATATCCAAAATATATAAGGAACACCAAAAACCAAACAATCCAATTTAAAAAATGGGCAGAGGACTGGAATAGACATTTCTCCAAAGAAGACATACAGATGGCCAACAGACACATGAAAAGATGCTCAACATCACTAACCATCAGGGAAATGCAAATCAAAACCACAATGAGATATCACCTCACACCTGTCAGAATGGCTATAAACAAATAACAAGTGCTTACAAGAATGCAGAAAAGGGAACCCTCATACGCTGTTGGTGGGACTGTAAACTAGTGCAGCTACTGTGGAAAACAGTATGGCGATTTCTCAAAAACTTAAAAATAGAACCGCTGCATGATCCAGCAATTCCACTTCTGGATATTTATCTGAAGGAAACAAAAACACTAGATGCATGCACACCCTTATGTTCATTGCAGCATTGTGTACAATAGCCAAGACATGGAAGCAACCTAGGTTTCCATCAACAGATGAATGGGTAAAGAAGATGTGGCACATATATACAAAGGAATGTTATTCTGAAATAAAAATCTAAAAATACAAAACAAATGAATAAACAAAACAGAAACAGACCCCACAGATATACAGAACGAGTTGGTTGACAAAGGGGAGGGAGGGAGTGGAATTTTAAAATCAATGATCGTGTAAAGCTTTTTATTTTTTATATTTTATTTTTTTTTATTTTTAAATATATCTTTATTGATTTCAGAGAGAGGAAAGGAGAGGGAGAGAGAGAGACAGAAACATCAATGATGAGAGTCACTGATCGGCTGCAGCCCACAACCTGGGCATGTGCCCTGACCGGGAACCGAACCCTGATCGCCTGGATCCTGGGTCGACGCTTAACCACTGAGCCACGCCCGGCCGGGCCGTGTAAAGCTTTTTAAAAGAGCAAAAGCAACTAAAGAAAATATAAATTTAAAACTTTTGCATATGAAAGGTCACTATGACGAGAGTGAAAACACAACCCACAGAGTGGGACAAAATATTTGCAAATCATTGATATGATAGAGGTCCAATTTCCAGAAAATATAAAGAACTCTTTTCTCCAAAGAAGGCAGACAAAGGCCAAGAAACATATGAAAAGATGCTCAATGTCAGTAGTAACTAGGGAAATGTAAATCTAAACCACAGTAAGATATCACTTCACATCCACTGGAATAGTCATAATTTTAAAAAAATGAATGTTAGCAAGGATGTGAAGAAATTGGAACCCTCATACATTGCTGGTAAGAAAGCAAAATGGTGCAGCTACTGTGGAAAACAGTTCAGTGGTTCTGCAATAAGTTAAACATATAATTAGCATATGACCCAGCAACAACTGAAAATACACCGAAAGAGTGAAAACAGATGTTTAAACAAAAAATAGTACCGAATGTTCATAGCTTTGTTCATAGTAGCCAATAGATGGAAACAGCCTAAATGTCCATCAACAGATGAATGAACAAACAAAATATGCCATATCTGTAAGATGGGTTATTATTCAGCTATTACAAGGAATGAAGTAGTGTAGTGATGAATGCTAAAACATGAATGAATGCTGAAAAATTATACTGTGTGAAAAAAGCTTTACACAAGCCACAAACTTATCATATACTTGTATCACATCATAAATACAATAAAATAATTACTTCTGATAATACACTGTTCAAAGTCTGTATTCTTTGCTACATTATAAGCACCACAAAGGCAGGGAAAGTGTCTCATTCATCTAATACTTTTTATCACCTGGCTGAGTGACTTTTACATGGTAGGATTTCAAATAACTACTGGATGAATGAATGAATGAATGTCATTCACTTTAAAAATCCTTCCATGGTTACCCATTGCTTTTATAAGTCTCAACTCTTTACTACAGATCATAAGTCCTATATGATTTAGCCCATTTTTCTTTGTAGTCTATTCTCACTTCATTGAATAACTAGTGAGTACTTATATTCCAGGCACTGTGCTGGGTGCTGGGGATACAATGTAAGTAAGATACATAGTACCTTACCCTTCTGCAGCTTATAGATAAGCAGGAAAAACAGTAACAGTAAAGTAGTAAGTGGGTAAAGAAAAGGTATTAGATATATATCATGGGAACCCTGGAGGCATAGCTGACCCAGAATTTGGGGTGAGAAAGGGTGGCTCAAGAAAGGCTTTTTGGAAAAAGTGATGTTTAAGCTAAAACAGGAAAGATGAGGAGTTAACTACGTAAACAAGGCAAGTTCCAGACAATGGGAAGGACATTTAGAACCTAACACTAAAACACATAGGCATCTAAAAGAAGTTATTTCTGTAAGGCAGAAGTATGGAATTATTGGGGGAGGGATGGGAGCAGAGAGAAGAAGCTGAAAAGGTAGGTGCTCTAACTCTAAGAGCAATGGAAAGGCATCAGAGTTTTAAGTGGAGGAAAAAATAAAAAAATCACAAGTGACCAAAACAATGCTAGGCATACACTAGGTATGTGGTGAGTATTTATTAAGTGCTATAGAATCAAAATACTAACTGGTAGCAGAACAAAAAATGAAACCCAATTTTTGCTTCTATAATCTATTACACATGTATACATAAAGACAAGAGCTTCATCAGTGATAGCTACAATGAAATCACTGAAGTTAATTAGAGTGAATCCATTAGACTGAAAACATACTGCTGTCTTGCTAAAAACAAAATATAAAAGTAAAAAAATTACAAAAGGAATACATGTAACCATCAAAGAAACAATAATTAAAATGGGAGGTTCTGTCAGACATCATACACTGTCAGTTTGGTATGACTATATGTCAGTCAGCTGCATATTTCTAATCTGAAAGCAGGTCATACAGACTTTTTATCTACATTGTCAAAATTAGACAAAATTGAGAAGTGTATATTTCAACCTTTCCAGATTCTGACCTTATTTTACTTCAAACATGACAGTGACTCATTTGGTTTTATTTTTTGAACTCTAGATAATACGGCTTTAAAAGTAAGCAATAGGTTAATAGTTGTAAGTCATAGTCTGCCTAAGGGTCCAAATAGGTACAAGAAGCCTAAGAAAAACTACCTTCTGGCATAACTATATTACATGAAAGCACGTGAATGTTGTAACAGTGGCTCTTTGCTCTAGAATAATCTTAAAGTTGAAAGAAAAAATTTATTTTCTTCTGTCACAAAATTGACAATCAAAAATATCGAAAAGATGAATGTAAGCAAAACTCAGTGAGGAAATAAATACTGAATATACACTTGTTATGACTACGTATTCTTTTTTAAAAATGTTACTAATGAAGCCTGGTTATTTGACAGTTTCAGATATATTTATGCAAAATGAGGACAGGCAATAGACGCCTAGTCCTGCAAAGACAGTGCAGTTGGTTGACAGTCTGGCTGAATCCCTTTTAAGAGTCTATTAAAGATGAGAAGATCTTTCTGTAATGATCAGGGCTCTGCCAAGCCAGGGTAAATAAATTCAGTGAAAGTATATTATGACTTATAATAAATGATACTACCACCTTACATGCATGCTTTATCTCCTAAAAGTATTTTCACATTTGGTCCTCTCACAAGGTAATATTTGCCTGGTTTTCCGTTTTTAGATAAGGAAACTGCGTCCAAAAGAATACATGTGACTTTCCCAAGGTATCTACTCAATCAGAACAGGGATTTTAAAAATGGAGCGTCCTAATTTTGTTTTTTTTCTGTTGGATCGCTGCTAACTCCTGGTCCACTGAGAGGTATCTTTTTCATCAGGGATGATCTGATCTTTGACAGCAGTCAAACCAATAATCGCGACAGATTTACAGTTTTCTTTAAAGAGTCACTGATACTAAAAATATTTTTAAACGAAAATTACAGCCTGTTCCACATCAAGCTCCTGGACAAACCTTTTGATAATTACGATCCTACAAAAAATGATCCTGTACACACGGCAGTCAAATGGGTGAAACTGATGAGGAAAGGAGAAAGACTGGAAAGCAACATCTCAGCCCAGCCTCCCGTAAATTAAAAGCCGTCGATTCTTTCCCCTTCATCATTCGAGAACCCCAGGGCAGTGAACCCCAAACTGCAGATAGAGAGCAGAGGCGCCAGACTTCATTCCCAGGCCCCACGGGATTGCGCCATTAGGGGGAATGCGGAGTGGGAATGGGAAAGGGGAAGGGGGACGCGGGGTTTCCTCCGCCCCCCTCTCGCCGCCAGAACCAGGCGGCGCCGCCGGGAGCCGCCGAGCGCGCTGCCCGGGCCGCGCCGAGTCAGGTGGGCGCTGCAGAGCCTCAGGACCCCTCGCACCTTCCCCTTCCCTTTCCGTGACGTCTCCGGCGCCCACCCCTCTCCTGAGCTTCTAGCTTTGCCCAGTGACACCTCAAGGCCAACCCCAAGAACCTCTAAGGATATCGTCAGGGCCCGCGGCCAGGAGGGCGGGGCTGCGCCTTGGGGAGTCACCTTTTGAGGTATCTCGCGTCCTCCCCCTGCATGGCGGCGGCGGCGACGACGTGGGGAGAATGGGGGTGCCTGAAAAAAGCCGGCGGGGCTATTTCCGGAAACGGTGGCCAAAGTCCCCGGACCCCCAAAGGCGATGACAGGCCCGAGGCCTGCAAGGAGGAGCCCGGGCGGGGATGCAGTTACCACGGTGAGGCCGCCGGCTCCTCCCACAGCTCCCAGGCCCCAAAACACTGGAGCCGCCCAGACCCGCTCCGAGACGCCGCAGCCAGCCCCGCCTCAAGGCGCATGCGCCCGCTCGGCGGCGCCACGGTGCGCAGGCTCAGTAAGAGGCGCTGGACCCTGGGACTAATCTGACGCACGGTGCCGCGGAGCCTGGCGGCTCCTGCTGCGGACGCGGGCGGCGGTGGTTCAGGCGTGGCCGCCTGGTCACCGCCCCCTTGGGGATGGGAGTTGGGAAGAATCATCCCAGTCACCCAAATTTAGAATTTCAGGTCCTCAGCCTGAAAAGAGGGAAAGGGAGCCCCTTAACCTTTCCTTTAGAGAATGCTACAGAGCAGTCCAGCCCTCAGCTAATAACCTGTCAAGTGAGGTTTTTTATTTTGGGGCGACACTGTGGAAAAGAAACTGCCCCGAGAAGCTCTAACTGGTGCGGACAGTCTGACCCTTGCGCAGAATGAATACAGTTAGTGGCAGCTTTGATTCGGCGCCATATCTTTACATTCCACTTTGGTATCCTAGATCTAGAATGAACCCCCACGACCACCCCCACACAAGAACAGCTCGTGAAACTCCACGTCCTCCAGTAATTACCCCTAAATCAAGGCACTTCTGGAATTGTTTCTTTTAAGGCAGGCCACTGTTGGCAGTGCAGGCCATAGGGAAGAAGGGATGTCCTTGAACCTTAGCAAGTGTCATCTGCTTTTACGCCTAATCCCTTGGGCTCAGCTGTCACATCTATGCAAATGACTCACGTTCATTTATTAGTCAATAACTATTGAGGGCCAGCTTTGTGCCCAACACCAAAGCAGGCTCTAGGGATACAAAGCAGGCACCTCCACTTCCTCTCCTCAGCAGTAATCCTGTGGCTCTTCTAGTTCTATATTTTCAGTCACCTAGGGCCATGTTTACATAGTTATTCCACTGCCTTTTTCAAATGCAGTGTTACTGCACTGCCCTACATGGAATATTAAATATAGAGACATAGTCCATACCTGCTAAGAGATATTATTTTTATCTGCCTGTCCATTCCCAGCAGCAGCACTATTTATGTCAGTGTTGCAGCCATTCTTTCAGTTTTCCAGGGAAGAGTAATTGGAGCTAACTCTGACATCTTCCTCTGCATCATGCCTCTAATTAAACTATTACAAAATTCTACCATTAAAATATTCCTGCAATCCAGCTCTTTTTCTCCATTTCCACTTCTACCTGCTAGTCTAACCACATCTTACTTGGAATACTGCAGTTCTTTCCTAACTGGCCTTCCTGTTTTATGTTTATTCCCAAATATTCATTCTTAAAACTGATGTAAATTTTTACAAGAGTACCCAATGCGCTATTTATTTACTCTCTGACCCTGAGCAAGGTAAACAGTATAATCCTCAGTTTTCTCATCTATAAAATAAGAATGATAATAGTTCATAGGTCTTAGAGTTACTGTAGTGTTAAATGACAGGGTTATATAAATTTATACCAGGGTGATTATCACTTAAATGCTAGTAATTGTTATCAACTAGGTGTTTGAAAACCATATCTTAATCATATAACTCTGGACAAGTCAATCAAGCTCTCTGTGTCTTCATTCAGAAAAATTGGAATAAATAACCACTGTAAAAAATTGAGGTTAGGAGAAAACGAGTTAATATTTTGTGAGAGTCTTGTAGACTGTAAAATTACACGAAAATGCCAGAGGCTATTATGTCAACTTCATCCTTAACTTTGTCAACTTTTATTTTGAATGCTGATAGCAGCAGTGAGTAGTTTAAATGTATTGAGAAAAAGCGGTTACTGCCTCATGGTCTTATAATTTAACTCGGGGAGAGAAGGAATACGAAGTTCCATAGATCCACCGATGACAGAATCATTTAAATACAGATCACCCCAGCAATACATCCACATTCCGAGGATGGTTCCCGGAGGGCTTTGGAGCTATAGGATTCAGGCTGCACTGCCTTGGGAATTGATTCTGCAGCTTGCTCCTTCTGCAAAACTCTGTTCCCCCTGGAAGCTTTCCCTAAGCTCCACACTTCAAGTGCCTTGTCTGTTCTCCTATGTACTTACTGTACTTTACGGACATGATTTTTTATAGCTCTATCTTCTCCAGTAAGTGATTCAAATGGTATAAAGTTACGGATTTCCAATTACATTTCCAATCACAGTGCTTGGCATGTAGTAAAGCTAATAATTGGTACCTGTTGCTATATCAGATGCCATGACAGCTTTCAAGGAACACAAAGTCACCAGGTATGTAAACAAATAACAAACGTATTGATGACTGTAATAATAGTGGCAAGAAGCAAGTCCAACACCGGCACAAAGGAGGAAATAATCCACTTATCATGGCAGAGAGGCTCAGAGAAGGGCTCACAGAGGATGAATAATCGGCTTAGCAGAGAGCATAATAGTGATGTTCCAGGGAGAGGCAATAATATATACAAAGACACACATGCACGTAACACCATTGTGTACTTAGTTGAGATGGTTAGAGAATTAGGTTCAAGTGGGAGGGCAGCGAAAAATAAGTTTGGAAAAGCCAGGAGGAGCAAAACTGTGGGGGGCCTGGTATAAGAAAATGTGATATTTGGATATTTTCTTCAGACATCAGGAGCCATGGAAGTGTTTTAATACAGGAAAATTATATGTTGAAATTTATTACTTTTAGCAATATTGATTGTTCTATATTTTATCCACACACCAACATAGAACAGAGGTGTAAGAATTACATTTTTTATTCTCCAAATACATTGCTTTGAAATGTTAATCCCGATTTGCTTCAAAAGGCCATAGGAAGTCCTTTCTTACCTTGTGACTGCCTTTGGGATGTCATCAAATGGCCAATGTGGTCCAAACAGCCCACATCCATTGGCTATTAATGCACTCATCTTCTCACTTTCCAAATTAATTTGACCTCTTGTTGCATAGCCTAATGCAAAGGAGATTTCAGTGAAAAGGACCTTTAAAATAAAATACCACCTCTTCTTGATGGTCATAACCTCTATTTTCAACTAATATAAGCCAATTATGACATCACTGGGTTACTCCAAGCGTCTCACTCATATTCCCAAATCTATATCCCAAGTCAAGTATTCTTTTGTTACTTTAAACTGCTTACTTATTGATTTTGTTCTTATAAAGAAGATGCCACACCATCTCTTTTCAATTTATTCCTTCAATTACATAAACTTTCACAATGATGGAAGTTTCATTTCTATTTGAGTTAGAGATATTAAGTAAATCTAATCTCTTGTTCAACATACATTTTTTTTTTTTTTTTTTT